GAGGATTTGGGTTCAATTTCCAGCCCCACAAGATAGTTCATAACAGTCTGTTAACTCTGGTTCCAGGAAATATGAAGCTGCCTCTGATCTTCATGTTCCAGGCATACACATGGTGTACATGCAGGAAAACAGTCACATACATGAAAAGAAATTTTTTTTTATACTTTTTTATTTATTATGTATACAGTCTATACAGTCTTCTGCCTGCAGGCCAGCAGAGGCCACCGGATCTCATTCAAGGTGGTTGTGAGACACCATGTGGTTGCTGGGAAGTGAACTCAGGACCCCTGGAAGAACAGTCAGTGCTCTTAACCACTGAGCCATCTCTCCAGTCCCCAAAATAAATCTTTTAAAAATATCTTAGTCTAGGGAGGTTTCTCAGTCGGTAGTGCACTGCCACACAAGGGTGAGGACCAGAGTTTTAGATCCCCAGAATCCTTATAAATTCTCTCAAGAATTCACACCTATGTATACACACAATTTTAGGTCTCAAAGAAACACAGGACTTCAACCATCTGTGATGAGATCTGGTGCCCTCTTCTGGCCTGCAGGCAAACATGCAGGCAGAACACTATGCATAATAAAAAATAAATTTTAAAAAGAAACCCAGGACTTGTCTGTCTCACTCAATACCTGGGGCTCCTCCCTCCAAGCACCTTTCAAGACAGGGTTTCTCTGTGGCTTTGGAGCCTGTCCTGGAACTCGCTCTTATAGACCAGGCTGGTCCCGAACTCACAGAGGATCTGCCTGCCTCTGCCTCCCGAGTGCTGGGATTAAAGGCGTGCGCCACCACCGCCCGGCTAAGCCCACCACTCTTTTGGCCTCTTGATACAAGTCTCCTCTCTTGCCCTGTCTGTCCCCTCTCTCTTCTCTTCCTCTCTCACTCCCTCCTCCTCTCATGGCCTGGTTCAGACTGGACCCTTCCAGATGCCTCTGGCTTTCTCTTCCTCATCATACAATAACATCTCCTCAACCATACAAACATAAAATGCAAAAACTTGTATTTGTTTTGTCTATGTCTCTGGTCATGTGTGACATTGAACATGGGAGGCCAGTTCTCTCCTACACAAGCTTCCTGGAGATGGAGCTCACGTCCTCAGACTTAGAGGCAAGCTCCCTTATCCCCTAAGCCATCTTGCAAGCCCAAACCATACAAGTTTTAAAGATTACTTTATTTCTGCATTATAATAATTCCTTCTCATCCTATCTCTCTTGCACCTAGGTTGCTTAATTGGAGACGACCAATGTTACCAGGAATCCTGTGTATTTTGTAGAGAAAGTCTTTTTGTTATTTATTTTTGGTTTTTCGAGACAGGGTTTCTCTGTGGCTTTGGAGGCTGTCCTGCAACTCATTCTGTAGACCAGGCTTTTCTCGAACTCACAGAGACCCACCTGCCTCTGCCTCCCGAGTGCTTGGACTAAAGTTGTGCACCACCAACGCCCGGCTGGTAAAGTCTTTTTGAATGCAGCAAATATGTAGGGTTGGTGAGATGGCTCAGTGGGTAAAGGTAAATGCTTGAGTACAGCCATACTAAACTAACTTCTTGTGCATACATAGTTAGATATATGCATGTTTGGTTAAGTTCTCTATTACATAGGGTCTCTAATGTACCCTAGGGTGGCTTCCAACTATTCTCTTGTTTCAGCCTCCTGAGTTTTGAGATTATAGGCATGTGCCACCATGCCTAGCTAGGATATTTTTTAATCTTCTTTAGGAGTTTGGGGTACACAGAAAAATTGTGAAAGTTGCCTGAGCCCAAACTAGTCTGAGGTCCAACTTTAAAAATGACGACTGTCTACAGACAGCATCCCTATGGTTGGATCTCTGCACTTGGCATATGTTCAGTGTCGTTAAGACAAGGGTAGAGTGGACAGTACACATTACCTCAGCCAGCCTGGTCACTCAGATGCTGCTCCTGCCAAAGACTTGTCTTTATCTCTGGCCCCTGACCTGCTGAAGATAACTGAGGCCTTGAGATATCTTTCCTGTAAACCTATCTGTCAGCCCGATTAATGAGCATAATCGCTGTATCAGTTTGATTTCTGGGGAAGAAAGCTCCCTTGTGTGGGTGCTGTCTGCCTACTGACTGGCACTCAATCTGAAACTGCAAGGCCTGGTATGTTGTGTTATACACAGATGCTGGGAACTGTTTTCTGTGCAACTCCATTGGGAGTCTATGGTCTGTAGTTAGCAAACCTGGAAGGCAGGCTGTTGAAATGGATCTGTTCATTCAGTGACAAGTACTGACTGAGCACCTGTTACACAGCAGGAACTAGAATAGATCCCAGACGCCATGCACAAGTTACAAGGTTGGTTCTCATGTTGTATATATTTATATTGTGTGGGTATGTGCGCAGGAACAGAGGGAGGGAGGTGCCTGTATAACTGCAGCTCTCGGTGTTCTCCCTGGAGCCGGAGTTATACAGGCAGTCGTGAGCAGCCCACATGCATTCTGGGATTAGAACTGAGTCCTCATGAGCATTCTCGTGTGGAGGCAGAGCCTAAACTAACCAACTTTAGTCAACAAGGTGCAGATGGGCCTCTCTTCACTAGTCCTAGCCCTGCTCAGCCACGTAAGGAACACAGGCATGGCGTGTGGTTAACCTACAGGACATCGTGCACAGTGATGGTTCGTAAACTCTATTCCCAACACTGAGGCAGTCCACACCTTAAAAAGCCACTCGTAGCTGGGTGTGGCGGCACATGGCTCTAATCCCAGGAGACAGGAGGATCTGAGTTCCAGGCCAGCCAGGTCTACAGAGCCAGTTCCAGGACAGCCAGGACTACAAACCCTGTCCCTTTAAAATAAAAGTTGAGCCAGGTGGCAGTGGTTCGTGTCCTTAACCCCAGCACTAGAACTAGTTCTAGGACAACCAGGGCTACACTGATACCATGTCTCAGAAAACTAAACAAGCCGGACTGTGGTGGCGCAAGCCTTTAATCCCAGCACTTGGGAGGCAGGGGCAGGCAGAGAAGTTCCAGGACAGCCAGGGAGGGCTACAGAGACCCTGACTCAGAAAAAAAAAAAAAAGCTAGTCATGGGCCAACAAGATGGTTTAGCAAGTAACAGCTTGCCTTGCAACCCTAGTAACCTGCGTTTGGGCCCCAGAATCCACCTAAAGTTGCAAGGATAAAAACACTAAATTGTCTTCTGGCCTTGTGTGCTGTGGCATATATGTGCATTTATGGACACAATCTGTAACCAACCCCCACCCCACCCCCCAGCACTGAGGTGGGTAGAGTTGAGAATTTGAGGCTTGGTGCCTTCCAGCCTAACTCTAGGTTCCGTGAGACTGTCTTAAAATATAGAGGGCACCACACATACTTTAAAAAAGGGCAAATTTCAGGTTACAGTGATGGCTCAGCTGAGGACGGGGGTTCAATTCCCCACATCTATGGCAGCTCACACTGGAACTTCCTTGCAAAGGCGAGGACCAATGCCCTTAAATCTTAAAAGGGGTAAGGGCAAACTTCATGTTATGTATACCCCAATAGAAGCCATGAGAAAAAGCTAGCTTAAACTTCTATTGCTGCTGGGCGTTGGTGGCGCACGCCTTTAATCCCAGCACTGGGGAGGCAGAGGCAGTTGGATCTCTCTGAGTTCGAGGCCAGCCTGGTCTCCAGAGCGAGTGCACAGAGAAACCCTGGCTCGAGAAAAAAAAAAAACAAAAACAAACAAAAAAAAAACTTCCATTGCTACAGAGTTCCAGGACAGTCCAAGCTTCATATGGTAACCCTATCTGCAAGAAAAAATAAAATCCATTGCCACCAGAGGCAGGTGAAATCTAGAAAAGTAGTTCCATCCAGGAACTACAAGGCTACAAAGAACTCTCTCAGAAGAGAGAGTTAAAAAACCTTACTTTACTTTTCCAATGGATAGGTCACTGAGGGGCCCTGCTGGCCTATCTTCACCCCAGCAGAGTGTCTGGTAGCTTATTAATGAGGGTCTCTAAGGTAAACTAAGACAGGCTCTCCCTATTAGTTGGAGGGTCCCATAGGATCTGAATTAAGCAGGACTGGGTAGGGATGACAATAAAGACTAAAGTCAGCACTTCTCCCATCCTTGCCTTGCCTTGGGGAGGACTTAAGACTTGGGTCCCAAAATTTAGTTGTGCAGCAACAATGGTATGGGCAGCTTTTTACAAGTGAGCCGCAAGTCCTCCATGTGTAAAGTGAAGCTAAGGTTGGCTTCACAGGAGAGGTAGATGAGGTGAGAAACAGTCACTCAGGTACCTCAGTGCCTCACACTTTCACGCCTATCCAGATCCTGGCTTACAGGGTCCATCTAACTTTCTCCTGAGAGCTGCTATGTGGACCAGGCTGGCCTTAAAAACTCACCTGCCTCTGTCTCCTCACCCCAACCAGTACTGGGGTTAAAGGCACGTGCCTTTAAAGGTGATTTCTTTAGACAGGATGGCCTTAATCAAGATTCTCCTGCCTCAACCTACCAGAATGCTGAGATGGCACATATAAGTGACAGGAACCTGGCAGCAGCAGGAAATCACAGCTGAAAGCCAGCGCGCGTAAGGTCAGATGAACAGCACGTACTTTCTACTTTAGTTAGGGTAGACACACAGGACCTAGTCTCGGCCTTATTGATTCTGACAGAGAGGCACGCCAACTAGAGTAGGGGAATCGCAGACAGCCAGAGGACTGGCACCTGGAAAAACAGCCCCAATCTCAGGCAAGAGGCTCAGCATATCTGACACCGTCAGCTGATCAGAAGGCTGCACTCTGCTTTCCAAGGGAAGGCATAACTAGGGTTCTCTACACCCCAGCCCAGTCTCTTTCCTGCTTCACCCCTGTTGGCACCCAGACACCCCTGTGAACAGCTTTTAAGGCTGAATTCTTCCAGGTAGAAGACAAACTTTCTTAGAGTAAATATTTAGGCCTTAAATCAGCTCCATTCCCCATGTATCCAGCCCTGAGAACCGCCCAAGCATCAGCAAGAATCCTGATGGAACGGCTCAAGGAGCCACAAAACAGGAGGCCCAGGGGAGCTGGTTGAAAGGAAAAGTCAGCGGACTCTTTATTGCTTCTGGGGTGGGGGCTCAGGAGCTCTTGGTGGGACGGGTGCGCTTTCTCTTCACCACCACGGGCTTCTGGCTTCGCAGGATGGCACTGGCCCTGCGGATGGCCGCCTGAGGACAGGAAAGGAACTCAGCACACAGCTCCCAAGACAAACCCACTCACTGCTGCCTGCTTCCCGAGGCTCCCCAGGGCTGGGGACACCAGAGGACCCTTCAGTCTAGCTCCAGCTCAGCAGGGTCAAGTAAGTCGCCAAGCCCAGTACCAGCCGCCCTCCTGCCCTAAAGACCCACCCGTCACTCACCATGCGCAGATCGGGGCGGTACTTGTTCTTCCGGATCATGTGCCGGATGCTGCTGAGGGTGGCCCGTGCATTCTTGTTGATGGTGGTCCTTACGTACGACGTGGCTGGTTTTCGCTGACCTGGTTGAGGGGAACCCAGGAAATCAGTCCACCTGTGTGGACCCTTTCGAGGAGCCTCTCCCAGAAGGGAACCCAGAACCTCACCCAAGGAATTGCTTGCTCACTGACTGTCTCTCCTGCCCACTCAGCACTCACCAGGCAACCACAAGTTAGTCTTCACCAAAGCTCGTGGAAACCCCATTCCTCAAAGGAGCCTTGTAACCAGGCAGGCAAAGGCCTGGCTGAAGAAAGATTAAAAGAAAGGGAGCGTAGGCCCACTACCCAGCCATTGTAGATAAAAAAGAGAATGTGTGGAGTGGGCAAAGTGCAATTACTAAGATTTAGCAAACTATTTGAGGAGCTCAGAACTGGGAACTTTAGAGTGAACCACGACTCTACGTCCTGGAGCTCTCCTCTGCTAACCTGAAACAACCAGTCCATCACGCTGAGTGCTGCCCGTTGTGAACCCAATAACCAAGACAGCCTCAGGAGCCTGAATCCAGAGGAAGAGAACCCGAACCTGCGGGCGCTGCAGGAGAGGTGCCCTGCTGTGAGCCTGCTGTCTGTGGCTCTTACGTTTTCTTATGCTTGTGTGTGTTACTTTGACATAAGTGTGAAGTAAAACTTATATACCCAAAACCAACTCGCTGAGCTTGTCACTCCTCCCAGGACAAAACCTGCTAATCAGGCTCGAAACACTCTCTTTATAGCAAACAGATTGCAGCGCACGCCTTTACTCCCAGCACCTGGGAGGCAGAGGCAGGTGGATCTCCTTGAATTCGAAGCTAGCTTGGTCTACAGAGCTGTTCCAGGACAGCCAGGTCTAGGTAGATTGCTCTGCCCTTAAAAAGCCACACGACTCCACACAGAATTCCCTCGGTGATTTAGTTTCTCCACTCCTGACCTCCCCAGCCGGCAAGATGGGAAAGGAGGGCCTCTCCCACCCTGTCCACAAAGGCTCGCTCACCGGATCTGCGTTTCATGACCACCACGACCCCTTTGCCGTCGGCCGCGGGCTCCACGCCCACTGTCTTGCGGTGGATCAGCCCATTGTAGCGGAAGGAGTTGCGGGCCTTCAGATTATTGGGTTCCTGCAAGGGGTTCAAGGAGACGGGTGAACTAAGGCCCCAGCGTTAGAAGAGGAACAGGGTAAATGGCTGACTGCCATGGCCGGTCGCCATAGACAGGCAGAGAGAGCACATAAAGAGACAAAGAGAAGAAAAGAGCAGAAGAGTAAAGAGAGAGCGAAGCCGGGAGTTGGTGGCCCACGCCTCTAATTCCAGAACTCGGGAGACACAGGCAGGCGGTCTCTGAGTTCGAGGTCAGCCTGGTCTCCAGAGTGAGTTCCAGGATAGGCTCCAAAGCTACAGAGAAACCCGGTCTCAAAAAATAAATAAATTTTGAACCCAGGTCCCCCCCCCCGCAACTTGAGGATTCCGGGAATGCGTCATTCATTACGACAGGGCTCAAGAATTGATTTTAAGACTATTTTATTTTATTTTTTTGTGTTAAAAATTTTTATTTATTTATTATGTATACAGCATTCTGCTTCCATGTATATCTGCACTCCAGAAGAAGGCACCAGATCTCATAATGGATGGCTGGGAGCCCCCATGTGGTTGCTGGGAATTGAACTCAGGACCTCTGGAAGAGCAGCCAGAGCTCTTAACCTCTGAGCCATCTCTCCAGCCCCTATTTTATTTTTTTAAAGACTTGTTTGCTTTTTTATGTACATTGATGTTTTTTTTAAAGATTTTATTTATTTATTATGTATATAACATTCTGTCTCCATGTATGCCTGCACACCAGAAGAGGGTACCACATGTCATTATAGATGGTTGTGAGCCACCATGTGGTTGCTGGGAATTGAACTCAGGTCCTCTGGAAGAGCATTCAGTGCTCTTAACCTCTGAGCCATCTCTCCAGCCCCCGTACATTGATGTTTTAAAGCCTGCATGTATGTCCGTGCGAGCGTGTCAGATCCCCTGGAATTGAAGTCACAGGCTGTGTGTGAGCTTCCATATGGGTGCTGGGGCTTGAACCTGGGTCCTCAGGAAGAGCGGCGAGTGTTATTAATTGCTGAGCCATCTCTCTAGCCCCGACTTCTTTTTATGAAATGTGTATGAGTTTTCACGGTTGGGGCTTGGGAGTGTTTATGTGTGTGTTTCTTGTTTCTGCCTGGGTGCTATGTGCTTTCCTGGTGCCTGCAGAGGCCACAGAGGGGCACTAGGATCCCCTGGAACTCAAGTTACAGCTGTGAACCATCTTGTGGGTGCTTGGAGTAAAACCTGGGTCCTCTGGAAGAGCAGACAGTACTCTTTCTTTCTTTTTTCTTTTCTTTTCTTTTTTTCTTTTTTTTTTTTTTTTTTTT